ATAATCAATAAGTGACTTAAAGATTTTCTTAAAAAATATATTGGCGTAGTCTTCTCCGATAAACTGTGGAATGTCGGCAAGTAAAACGACCCATACTAATATAACCAACTTAATATAGGTACTGTTTTTTCATCTGTAGTAACTGGCAGTATTGATTAACTCAAATCATATCTAAAATTAAAAAATGTATTATGAATTAAAATTGTATTCAAAATGTCATTATATATATATTAATTTTACAATGATGTGTGTTTCTTGTGTCTACGGTCATCATCTTTTGGGACAGTAAGAGTTCTTCGATTTTCTTCAAAAGCATCTCTTCTGGTGGGAAAGTGAATCTAGCTGGGGAGGGGGGCTAAAGACAAGGACCTCAAGAAGGAAATTCCCAAAAGTTTCCAAAACAAGCAGGCAAAACAAACAAAAAATTAAGGAAAAACGAGAATTTTTAAGGAAAACGGATTTTCAACAAATTTTATTTTGGTTTTTGATTTAACTCTAAAAAAATACCTTAGATACATGAAATTTTCACTGAATATTTATTCTACTAATTCATATACCTACTTTTTCAAAATATTTTGATTCTTTTTGAGCTGTTTACAGACATTTTCAATTTTCAATTTTTTCTTTTTTTTTTCTTCAAGTGTCAATGAAATTTTATTTGTTAAGTCAAATAGCTTGAAATGTACAACAAAATTTCTGATATATTGTTATAATGGTATTGAAAAAATATTTAAAAAAGATACGTACAATTTTGTTTTCTAAACATTTAAATTTCAAATTTTGACAACATTTACCAAATTTAAAATGAACAATTTATTCTGTAGTTAAATATTTATAAAATGTTCAATTTGTATAGCTAAGGAAAAAATTTAAAACAAAGTTGCACACAAGTAGTGTATTTGGTAACCAAAAGAATCTAAGAAATATATAATACTGTTTTTTTAAATATTTATTTTATGTTCAAATTTGGACGAAATTATATGTTGTTAAGGAACTAAAAATAATTATTTAAGTTATTTTGTTGTAATTTAAAAATATTATTCGTGGGTACCTACTTGAAACTTTTAGAGTGTATTATTAAATTGTATACACTCAATGATTTTTCAAATATAATTTTTTTTGCAAAAATGAATTTAATTTACTGTAGTACTAATGCTTACTAGTAAAATAAATTACTTTTATCATAATAATACCATTAAATAAACTAAATTACTAAGTAATATTGTAGACTGACAGACCGTTTTCTGTCAGAATCGTTTTTCTTATACAATGATTTTATTACATCCATTACAGTGTAACCTGTTACTTGTAACCTACTGTACGACAGAGCGACATCCACTTACCCGTTTCTTTTTATTGATCTTAAGTATTGGCAACTTTGTCCATTATTATTTTTGGAGTGGGTTAAGGTTAGTTGAGGAATACGTGTATGTGGGGTGAGAATTCATCACTAAAAACCTCGGTGGTCACCCATCCGGGAATTAAATACGGCAGCCAATGCTTTGCCTCAGGACATGTTAGTGACTGAGGCCAACAACCGAGCCACCAGGCACCTGCATTATATTATTTGTTTGTTTAATACAATAAATTGAAAATATAAATGGGTTTTTTTCATGTTATAAAAAAAAAAATTATTATAATGTGCGGTTATTATATTATGAATTAAGTTCAAATTCATAATATTATTAAGTTACTTTTATTGTAAAACTCTTAATTTAAATACTATAATTAATTTTACACGATTAAAATGTGTAATGAATAATTTTAATACCATTTACTCTCATTTTCGATGTAGGTAACTAAAAATGCTTGCCTATAATAATAATTTTTTCCTGCTCTTAATATTCTAACGAGATAAGATTATCATGTCTGATACGTTAAATATCTATTTATTTTTTTGTGTACAGTCAGTATTGCAGTGATTAAGTAAAATGTATTATTCATAATTCATATAGCTTTGAAAATAATTTGTTATTGTCAAATTGTTAATAGTCAGATTTAAAAGGTTTTAAACTAATACTTTTTAAATAATCTTGAAATTTCTAAAAATGTTGTAACGCATGAAATGTAGTCATCAACAAAGCAAAATAATTAATACCATCGATATTCAAACTTTTAAAAATTTGTTTTAACTTTTTTTCACGATTTTTTATGCATAATGTGCATTATTATCAACTGTATTTTTATTTTATTTTTATAATATATTTTCAGTACGGACCATTGACTAATAATTAGACAATTGATATCTGTAGTCAGTAAATTATGATAAATTATTCATAAAGAACAAATAATAATAAAAAGATAATTGTAAAATTCACAATGTTATTGGATATTCTTATAATAAATTACAACCTAAGAGCACAAACTTAAAATCCTAATCATCAAACTATGATATTAAGGGATTACAACAATTAGAAATTCAATCAAAATATAAAAAGAAAAGTAATGTTTTAAAATTATATTCCTCTTATATGGTTGTTTACATTTCAAAATCACATCACCTATTTACTACAAGTATACACTATATTTATAACTATGTCAAATACACTGTGGCCTGGTAATAATTTTAAAATGGTTTGCAAACATTTTGTCACCAACAATTAAAAAACCGTTAAGACGCACCTGTGAAAAAGAGTTAAAGTTTTAAGTTTAAATATATCTTATTGCAAATTTTGAATCAAATTATTAATGTAAAATGTAAATTATGTGTGTAGTGTACATAAAGCGTTTTAATAGATACTTTTTTAACCCCTTATAAAATCAAAATTTTATGGTAAATTAAGCAACATTGTTAATGTATTTCGCAATATTCATAAGACTACTTAAGATTTACAAAAATAACTTCACTAAAGTGCCACCGGTGATCACTTTGGAACTCCACTGTTGAGCCATATAAAACTTTTGAAACACTTAGCCACTTTAGCTGACCCAAAAAGTATTTTTCGGCTACAAAAGTGCGTTATTGTAAAACTAACATATTGTTCTGAGTAGAGCAAAAAATAATATTACAGTGAAAAATAAGCATAACAGTGTTATTTACTTATTTAGTTTAAAATGTTAGTTGAATATTTATTTTATGTAACTAAGTTATTAAGGAATACAATATAGGTAACTACTCGTAGATGAGAAAAATACTGTTATACTTATACTAACCATTGTTTAAAGGTGACAATAGTTTTTAGTCCAATCGTGTGTTAATCATTGAGCCATTGAGGTAAAACAATTATTTGGTTATGTTACTATTTATACACATTGTAACTTTTCCGTTTCCGTGGCCAATTACGATATAGGAATTGAAATAAGATCGTTTTCTCGCTAAAAATTTAAATTTTAAATATTTTTAAAAATTGAATTTCTATTGGCAAACTATTGCATTTAAAAAAAACTCCGGCAACTTGTCTTTTAGTTAAAATTTAAATAATATTACTCTTCTTAGCGTTAACTCAGTTAAATATCTTGGTATTATTTTTAACGGTAAACACTTATTCACTCTTATTTGAATTAAAAATTAAGCGATTTCTATACGTAATTGGCTTTTAGTGTTCCACTCGCCTTGCCTATTTAATTTCCTTGTCAGGTATAGTTTGGAATATGCTAAGATTATCTGGAACTCTAATAGATACTAATTGTACCAGTTCAAAATTAATTTATTCATTTTAAATTTAACATTAAAATACCTCCTCATTCTACACAAATAACAATATAACAAAATTTTAAACTTTTTAAATTATCAATTATCAATTAGACCAAAGAAATAATTAGTTACTAACCTTTTTTGAAAAAATAAAATTAATTAATAACACAGACGGTCCTCGCCCATGAAGGTATTATTAGCTTTAAAGTTGATAATTTTCAAAGTGTTAGGGATTCCTGCTTATTCTATACTCTTTGTACATCCCGTTGATATATGTTATTTTCCTCAAACAAAAAACTTTATTATTTAATGCCTTAGTGGTGATTCCGTTATTAATTATTTTGGTTTCTTTATTCAATACTTTTTATTTTTTATTACTATTATTCTGCTTTTTTTGTTCATTTTTAGTTTTTTTAAGTTATTACGTAATTTCTTATTCATATACATTGTACATTTTTATTATGTAATTAGACTTACATCTGTAACCAAATATATAAATCTGTTAATACAATTTCAAACCTTTATTGTGCAATGATTTTGCAATTAATTTTCTACAATTTGCAACTTGATGGCTTCTATATGAAAAGTCTGTTTTTAAAAAGGGTAATCTCAGTTAGCCTCCAGATATTGTTTTTTAAAATTCTTGAGATTGTATTGTACTACTTAAGGAGTGTCCAGTGGCGAAACATATTTCTGCCGTTCCAACTAGAACCCCCTACATCCATCATTTACTGTTAACTAATAAGTGGATATTTTTTTGAAAATGTTGTAGCATAAACTTGATTTAACATTCAAAAGAGTGGTTTCTTAGTTATTAAAAAGTTTATTCCAGATACTAAGGATGATAGTCCTTAAACAGTAAAACAGTTTTACAAAAATATGAAATAGATGTAATATTGGATTTGGTATTTATTATACTTGCACCAAATTATAAATGTTGATGGATTAATATTAATTACTGAAATTCTCAAATCACAAAAGCGCCCATAGCCCGCATATCTTCTAAGCCCATTATCATGCAACTATTATATTTAGTACACAAAGTTGAATAACTCAGAACTACTCATTCGAATTTTGATTCTGATACATAAACATTGTCAAAAAAAATGATCTGCTTAATAATTTACAGTAGAAACTTGAGTTCTCATTTAACAAACTGAAGTTAGTTTCTCTTAGGGACACTCCTTTAGTAGTACAAAAAAACTCAAGAAATTAAAAATATGATATTTAAGTAGGAATATTTAAAAATTCTAAAAATGAGGGGTTGAGGGATGCTAGGTGAATCATCCTGTATATGATATAAACTATAAATATCTTTAATATATATGCAAACTAATGTTTGTGTTATCAATATGTTATGTTTCAGCAGTAAACACTTATTCAGAAATTTATTTCCACTGGATAATACATTGGCTGCGAACACGCATTTGTAAGTATATTTATTTTTTAGCATAATAAAAAAACTTACATTTATTTTAAACATAATATATAAATATGCATAATACATAATAATATATTGTACCAAAGTTCACGTTGTTTGGTATAATAGTTTTATCTTGGTGTGTAAATAATTGTTATTTGATTTCATATGAGCAGTATTAACATTTCCACATGAAACATATAGAAAATCTATACGTTTTTCAATCGGTGATTCAATAGTATTTCCAATATCTAAACAAAATGATCATACGCAAATTATATGTCCGATCTTTATGTATTATATGATGCTACTTGAAACCGAAAACATTTTTTCCGATTTCGATTTCAGTTTCAGATATCGGTATCCATTATTTCCGATTTTGATATTGATTTCGGGTTTTAACGGTTTTAGCCGGCATTCAAAGCCTGATTTTATTCAAATAAATTATCAGAAGAAATAAACAAGTAGTATATTCAATATAAACTATGCTTTTGCCCAGAAGCCAGAATCTAAAATAATTCCACAACTTAATGGAAATAAAGTAAATGTGATAAAACTAAAATCAATTGAAAGGTATAATGTTAGCGTGAGAGCCGATAAAGATGATTAAACGTTTTAGGCTTTATTACCAATTGACCGGTGAAGATGAATGAGAGCAATAATACACTATCGATGAAAGGTTTAAGAAAACTCGAAAAAAATACATCAAGTTCCCGAAAAAGCTGAACAAATATTGTTTTATAGATAATACCGTTTTATTCAATAATTTGAACGAGTTTAATGAAATGTACCTAGGTTATTATTTCAGTTGTAAAGAATGATTATGGCTATTTTTCAAGTTATAAAACGAGCATGTCATCACAAAAATAACCGACAGGGTAGAAGTTTTATATTTTTCCACGAATTGAAATATTCAAAATTTATTGAGTATTTTATACACTATTTGACATTTGTACGTACACCGTACCTACTATACGTTATTCATATGCACATACGTCTTACATACACATTCGATCCTTTCTACAGACCTTCTTACGAAAATAAAATTGTAACCAGTGGGCAGGTAATGGGGATTACTTCGGGAAAAAACGCATCATATATATACCATAAATTATAATTATATTATATAGCGTTTCCCGTGAAAGAGCAATGGACGATAAACAATATGACGTATGACGACAATTAAACTACATGACTGCAGTGAATTCAGAATTCTACAGTATTCTAGTATTTATATGTAGGTGCGTTTCGCCTGGTGGTTTTTGTATTATTATCGTTCGTTTGTGGAATTTTGATGTTTTTCAAGACTCTATAGTCAAATGTTGCGGAAAGGCACTTATTTATACGTTCTTACTAGTTAAAATTATGAGAACTCCTGTAGTAATATTAAATAAAAACTTGTGTTTATTTTCCTCACATTTCGGCCACAAATTTTCAACGGAACAAAACATTTGAAATAAAATATGCCATAAACATTAAATAATGCTATACGCAGGATTTCCATTGCATGACGAACGTGCTCTTCGTATTTACTGAGTTTGTGAGATAATAATATTGCACTTTAAGTGTCTCTGTTTTTAATATGAAATACTTTTAAGAATTTATGCAATATAATACGTGCAAATAATGATTACATTTCGTTTTTAATTTAAGTTTGATAAAAATTATTTGTTAATGCTTATTGTGATATATAATTTATAATTATCATAACTAAATATCACAACGTATAATAGTACATAAAGAAAGGATTTATTTTAGATTAAATACAATTTACTATCAGATACTTATGATATGTACATTTTAAAAACAGTATCTAACCAAGGGAGCACATCAGTATAATTTTTGTTTTCATTTTATACAGGATTTTAATAATCTCTCGTCGTTTTCACTCATTGTAATTACATAAATTAGAGTAATGTCATAACAATAATTATCATAAAATAAAAAATAAAAACATTGTCTGTGTTTGATCAGAAGCTACTCTAATATTTTTATTTTCAAGAAAGTGATTAACAATAATTATAAGTAACTTAAAATCAAAATATAAGAAAACGCTTCTAACAAAACACGGATGGTATTTACTTTATAATTGTACCTTAATTTCAATAATATAATCACAATAAGTGAAATTCGGAAGGGGGTTTTTAGTTTTTACTGTATTCCTCTCGTGTGCAACAGTGCGAAAATGTTTACTCTCAAATAAAAGCACACGTTTGTAATATCAGTAAAAATAAATAGATTGTTTTAATTATTATGCAGGGCATAATATTAAGATGAAATTAGCAATATTTTAAATAAGATGGTAAATCATATTTTCCACAACAGTGGTTTTAAATATAATTTTAAATTTTAAACAGTTAAACAGTTAAATACAATATTGGAATACAGTCTTTGCAGTAGAATTTTTAAATTTTCGTGAATCAATAACAAATATTGGTATTTATCGTTCGTATTTAAAAAAAAAAATAGTTTACTCTCATTTAAAATCGAATGTACGATAATTAATTAATAAGTTTGGCCTAAGTAGTCAGTTTAACAGTTATTATATGTATAAATTAAAAAAGTTTATTCTATCATTACTCAAACTTTTATTTTATTGCCTTATTAAAATACATACTTAGCATTAGCGAGTAAACAAATAGTATTGAAAAAATATTTTATGTTAATAGCTGTTGAGTTAATTTAAAATTATTTAATTAAAAAAAATTAATAATAGTAATAAAGTGAAACACTAATACTGATAGCAACATTTCTTTAGGAATATTTCGACGATCGTTTCGCACAATGTAACGTATTACTTATAAGTTATATTACAAAAGATTACTACTTTGTTGAAAATTAATTAAAAACGTCTACAGTGGTTGTGTGTATTTTATGTGGTGTCGAATTAATAAAACTGTCCAGCTTGGTGAAATCGTCTGAACAATAAACGCACTGAGTCCTGATTTCCTGAAAAACACAATCCAGTAAACAATGCGATTTTAACTGGACCTACCTACATATATAGTATAAACACAGCATAATATATTTTGACGGAAATGACACATAATTTATAAGCAATGCATTTGATTCGTGTACATTTATGTTGTGCTATGAGTAATAAGTAATAAATAATAGTACACGCCCCTAGAGTAAATAACGTAACCTGTGCCGGCGCTTTCGAGTGACCGAGACGTTATTATTATTTTATAATAATATTGTGTATTGTTGTACGCTAATTCCCAAACGTCACATTGTACATTTATCATTTCTGTGTGCGACAGTGGAACTTCGTTAATGTAATATATATATATATATTGACAGACCACTCGCACAAAGCATGATCAATGAAATAAGAACCATATGACGACGACTATTTAGTATTCATATTGTAGACACCTAACCTAACCGGGTTTAAAATAAAAAATCTATGAGCCGAATAAAAAATGCCATCTCTCAAATTATTTTTTCCACATACATGTAATGTGCCACAACATAGCACACTTAAATTTACTTTTGCTCACATTACTCCAAATAATATTTTACGGTGTTTTCACTTATTAATTACCGTCTATTGTTACATCTTTTTCAACAGTAAATTTTTCAACTTGAAGTAAATTACGTTTGATAACTGTTTTTTTTTTCATATTTAATTCAATCCCATTATTATTGTAAGTAAAATGTCTTAAATAAGAACTTCTAATAATATAATAATATATTCTTTATTATGTCCAAAATCTGAATGTGTGTGGATAAAATTACCTATTTTTCAGTATATAATTCAGTATATTGGAATAATATATAATTTATTAGTATTATATATTTATATGTATAGAAAATATTTATGGTTTAAAAATTTTAAAAATGAATGGTTGTGCTGGAAGTGCTCACATGAACTCAGCATTTCTATTGATTCTATTTATGTCATTCTAAAAAAAAATGGTATATTTTTGATACTTCGCTATGGTTTATACCTACTTCTAAAAAAATTGATCGAATTTTAATTGTTGAGATTTTTAAAATATATGATAAGAATAATTTATGGTTACATTGTTGGTCTTGATATTTAAATTTAAAATGTTATAAGAAAACAATAAGTTTTCAAAATTCATTCAATCAACAAATAGATTCTGCCTGAACTATTTAAAAAAATAATTTTATGTGTGAATGATATTTTTTAATCAAATGGGTGCATAATTTGTGGAAATTCAAAGTCTTCAGATCGAAGGATAATTGTCATGAAATAATCGAATTTAATTTTCTTGTAAACAGATTTTGCTATGTTTCGTTATATTCGAACTAGTGTTCAAAATTTAGTGGCAGTTTTTCATTGAGCCTACCGACTGCAGGGACACAGTATGTTGTTAAAATACGAATTCTTTAACTTTTGAAAATATTAACAAGGTAATAAACATTCTTTTAAAATTGAAAAACATATATCTTTCTGAAGTACATTTGAAGTATGTGTTAAAATACCATTCTATTTAGATACTACTCGAAATTTCCAGTTATTTTTCTACTGTTCTAGAAAACAGACACGCATCGTTGTAAAACCAATACAGCACTCCTCATATAATCCGAAACGCGTGCTGTGTGCCTGTGCATACTTAGCTATATTATTTAACTTATTTTTAATACCATTGTGTACGGATCGTTTTATCAATACTTAATGCTAATATAAATTCAAGAGGCAGCATTTGTCTTTTTGGCAAAATCCGCCCAAAGCTAGAATAAGTTATCAGATCTAAAACATTAAACGACTTTGAAGCTTTTTACCCTCTGGTGCACATTAATATTCGACCGTTTTGACTGTCTGTACTTATATAATCTTGCACAATAATTAATTCCTAAACTTCTTGTGATTGTTAAATTCGAGTTAAACAATTGTTCAACAAATCCGATTGTAAATCGTTTAACAGTATCTACTACCTACTCTACACTGATACATTTAAATAAATAAATAAATGTTGTTTAGTAAGTAACTATTTAAGTATTTAATAGAATATTATAATATGGTTGTAGGTACTTAG